TCATTTTTCATATATTTTTGTTGGAGTTGTAATATGATATTTAAATCTTTTTATATTACGACAACATTTTTATATTTAAAATAAAATGCATGAAAATTTTATTTATTCTACATTTTATTTTGTTCTTGCAGTCATATGTGTAATAAATTAATTAATTTATCTTACTAAATTTAATCGGTAAAAAGCATTCGTCGCCACGTGCATCGCACGTGCACTTTACTAGTAATATAAAATGAAGGAGTTATTAGTTCTACTTCTCAGTTCTCAGTTATTCTATATTCTCTAAGTCTAATGTTCTTTTATGGAGTCATTCATAACTTAATTTACTGACGCTTGTTTATAGTGTATTTATTATAAGACACATGTCAATATACCATTTGTACATTATTATAGATGTTCAATAAGATGTGTCATTAGATAGCACCATAGCAAAAAAAACACTTCGTAAGTTCTCAGTTTTACTCTTTGACCATGAATCTTGTAAATAATGCTAGATAACAAATTGGCTTAAATATTGCATAATTAAGATTAGTTATTGCGTAATGAATTACGCATGAGCACGGTAATGGGCTTCAAATTAGTCATAGTCATGATAATTTTTCAATTAGACGTTGTACCTAATGTGATTAAATTAATCAGCAGTCAGATCAGTTAAATCACTCAATTATCTAAAGAAAACTCACCTGATCATTCTTAATATGTGAGATTAGAAAGAATTTAATAAAATAAATCAAGGAGGAACAAGGAAGTAAAGTATCAGGCATAGGCTGAATTTATATGCAAGAATTTAACGGAGATATTCATAATTTTAAGGCGGAACTGATAAATTCTAAAAGTGTAAATTCATCACTTTATATTAATTATAGTGCACATAAAATTTATAAGAGTTTAAATTATAATCTTATAGAGAGGATACTATTTACTAAAATACTATGTTTGATAGACAAATAAGTTAACTTATAGTTTATTTAATTAGTTTATAAGTTTTTTTTATTTAAATAATAACTATCTAGTACATGGAAGAATATAATTTTTCAGATAGAATAGTCAACGTTAAATTTTTTTATTTTCCTAAGTCGTGAAAACAAATTATTTTGTGAGGGTGCCATTGTAAGAAAAATCACCGGCAAGATTTAAGAAAAAAATAATAAAAATTCAATTGTTTAGTAAATTATTCAAAATGTTGGTCTATGTAGAAATACTTGGGTAGAGTTCGAAATAGATTCTTATTGAATTAAGAGACGACAAGTAGGCATGTCAATAAAACCCGCAGGGTCGGGTTACACGCGGGTTACCCGCATTTTCGGGCCAGGTAAACCTGGGATGATTGGATTTTGGGTCGGATTCGGGTAGAATTATGCTACTCGAATCCCGAGTTGGGTCGGGTTCGGTTCGGGTATGGTAGAAAACTTCATTACCCGACCCGATTACCCAACCCGTTTACCAGCAAGCATAAAATCTTATATATATATATATATATATATATATATATACATATATATTTCATATTATAAATATAAAATTAAATTATTTCTTATAATTTGGTTAATGGTTTAAATTTTATTTTATTTTTCTGATTTCTTTTTATCAATTTTCCTTTTAGTTGTACAATATTAAATTTAAATACTTAATTTTTAAATATTATATTATTAACTAGACCATAAAATATAAATAATTATATCTCAATATTTATTCTAAAAATAATATAGATTTTTTTATAGTCATTTTGTTGCTAAACTTAGTTAATAAATTGTTAGTTACATTATATTTAATTGTGGAATTATTTTATTTAATTTTTTTACACATGAAACGGGTCGGGCCGGGTTGTGACCAAGTAAAACCCACAATTTAAGAATTTGGGCTACCCGTTTACCTGACGAAGATCCGATAACCCGTTGAGTAAAGCTCAACCCGAACCCGAAGTTCACTAACGGGTAACGGGCCGAGTACGGGTAGGGTAAATTATATGCGAGTCGGGTTCGGGTTTGCCAAAACCCGCTCCCGACCCGACCCCTTTACATCCCTAACGACAAGAGTGGATTTCTGATTTCTCGTAACCACTTATTTTGGTTTCTCCTTTAATTAGGATGTCTAATTCTGTTAGTGAAATGGACTTTACCTGGGTTCCTTCAACTTGGAAGGTCTCCGTACCTGCAAGAACTCAGCGCCAGGAGGGGTTCCGTCGTCGAGCCTCTGATGTCTAAGTCAAAACTCGCAAGAGGTAAAGTGCAGTATGAGAGTATAGTAATGAAGGTAGAGAGAATGTATGATATCTTACGCCCCTTTTATAGGGGAGGTGTACCTTAGTGCCTAAGTTTGGCTTGTGCAATACTATTATGACATGTGTCCCCCATAGCTACCAAGCTCAAATAACCTTAGCACACCACTTTTCGACCGAAAGTCCCACAGACGGCGCCAAAATAGTAACACAAAACACTCTGACCGGCTTGAAATCGGCTCGTCTTCCTCCTCGTCGCCGGTAGAACGTCGCGTACCTGCAAAGAACTCACACCGGGGGGTTTTTTCGGTGAAGAGCGTCCGGTGTTTAAGTCAGTATATATCTCACTCAATTCTCCAAAGTATGAAATGGATAAGCAACAAGAAAGGCTCATTCCTATATATATAGGAGTAAGGTACCTGCCTTAGGGGCTGCCCGAATTTAGTGAGTTGTCTGCCCCACTCTGCCCGGAGGTAGTGCCTGCAAACAGTGGCGGATCCACATTAATTAAGTGGGGTCATAGGCTTCCAACAAAATTTTCTCCAACCTATATTAGTTAGGTAGTCCAAAATAGTAAAATTACTCGAGGCCCAAAATTATGCCCCCAGCCCAAACAGTAAACAATTCAACCTACAACTAACAACCCAAAATAATAAACTTAATTATTAAAAAAAACAAAAATATTTAGAGGTCCATTAAAAAAGATATATATATATATAGGAAATAGTCCCGTTACGGTACCATCCCGTCGGATATTTTAACCGTTGGATCATCTATCTTATATTAACTACATGTGCATCCAACGGTTAAAACTACTGACGGGATGGTACCGTAACAGGACCGTAGTATTTCCCATATATATATATATATATATATATAGTGGCCTCAAGCCCATTCCGTCAATATATGTATACATATATTCCAAAAAAAAAAGATACATCAAACCTGGAAGCGAGACAACGACGCAATATTAATTATATGGTGTCCCATTATGTAATCATCCTCAATTTGCCCTATTAAATTCTCCTAATGAATAAAATATAAAATTGCATGGACAATTTTGTGGAAATAACAATTAATTAAATATACTGGCGAAAACGAAACACTTTTTGTCCCACCAAAATCTAAAGCTTTCTTCCATGGTAGGACCCAGCAGAGATTTTGCACAACACTACCGACTCTACTCCCATCCCATGCCCCTAATATTTATTTATTTAGCACTTTGAATTTCTATATATAACATTAACACCGCCCCATTTCAACTCCCATACCCACGCCACCCTTATAATTTTCTTGCACATCTATATGTGTACTATTTACCCTCTATAACAAACAAACAAACATACTTTAACATAATCCAAACNGAATGAAATAAAACTAATAATAATAGTGTATGGTAGTATCAATATATGAGGTGGATAGATAACTGTTTTGATTAACACATAAACTCTTGTAAAACATGGGCCCGATTATGGTTATTTTTTTAGCGGGTAAAATATACAAGACCCCCTTGTATTATACGAAATCTGCGCGTTTCCCCCCTGTATTTTAAAAATTGCGTCAGACCCCCTTCTATTAAGGTTTTGTATGTGTGAAACACCCAAAATTGTCTAAATTTTGGGTGTTTCGCGCATACAAAACCTTAATAGAAGGGGGTCTGACGCAATTTTTAAAATACAGGGGGGAAACGCGCAGATTTCGTATAATACAAGGGGGTCTTGTATATTTTACCCGCTAAAAAAATAACCATAATCGGGCCCATGTTTTACAAGAGTTTATGTGTTAATCAAAACAGTTATCTATCCACCTCATATATTGATACTACCATACACTATTATTATTAGTTTTATTTCATTCTAACTTATTTCAAGTATATTATTATTACTACCATGGCTCTAATTTCATTATCTGTGTTATTAATGAATGGAGAGTGATGGGAAGTGGAATATCCACACTGTTCGTGGAAAAATCAACGTCAAATTTATAAAGTTGACATTATTAAAATAATTAGTGGAATTCCTGATTTTCTTCTTCCCATTTTCTTTATTTTTGAATTTTCGGTGCCTTCTCTTTTCTACTTTTTGTACTAGTGGACACGCTCTTTTATCTTTTATTTTTCATTTCTCTAACCTAAATAACTACACTGTTCGCTGACGCCTCACAGCATCTAATATTATCAAGTATTGTTGTCGTTGTGCATAAAAGTTGGCAAATATGATCAATTAATTAAATAATAAAATAATGCTATATCCATAGCTACTATAAAATTAAAAAATGTAGATATTGTTAAATTTACATATTAATTATGCTCACATTATCACTTTCATTTTTAATCACATTATATATTGGATGATATAAAATGCAAATAATATTAAATTTATTGATGTGAAATGTAATTTACTACAGTGTATCAGAGATGTTCTTTGGTGATGGTCCCTACATGCTAAATATTAATCACAAAGCACTTATTTTTATTATTATTCAATTAAATATTATTAAGAAATCCAATTGTCAATCATTCTACTACGGTGCAAATCCGTCAACTGTTTTGTCGGAAGACTTTCTAGATAAACAAGAAATCTCCATCTAACCATATATCTGTTCAATTAAATTTGTCTCCTCTCCTCTTTTCCATTCTATAAGTGAAAAATGTGATAACAATACTGATAATATAGTAAGAGGAAAGAGGAGTAGAGAGCATTTATAACAGAAATTTTATGGGCACCATATGGTGCCATAATCTCACGATCCAACGCCTAATATCCATTCTATCAATTCCACAATGAATATTAGGCGTTGGATCGTGAAGATTATGGTACCATATGGTGCCCATATGGGCGCCATAGAATTTCTGGCATTTATAAAAGAATATATACGATTTAGGGATTCAGGGAGATATGATATAAAAATAAATTAGACAATCTCATTAAATAATACTTAATAAGTGTATTCATTTAGGATTCTTCTTAAAAAAAACTATTGGGACTCTCGTATATATTCAGATGTATTAATTGAGATTTAATAAAGTCTTAATAAATCACGAGGTATTTAATTTATTTGACAATAAGATTTACTAAGATATTTTAATATTTGCTGAAATTTCATAAACAAAAACCTTATACGAATCTCACACCCAAATTTCATCTCTAGACTTAGAGATTCCTTTTAAACCTGAAAATCTTAAAAAGTTTTAAATCTCACAAATTTTTATAATGTCATTCAAAATTCCAAATGAACACACTTCGCTTTTTAATTTCTAACAATATATGATTATAGCAAATACTAAAGTGATGGAGTGAGGAAGGGACAGTGTAACAATTCATGCAAAGTAAAATCCTCTTTAATGTAGACCTAATGAGCCCATATATATTATATGACCACCTTTTCCAAAAGTAACATATATACAATCTTCTTTTTACCACTTTGTTTTATGACACATATATGAAAACTTTAATTTAATTGGTCAAAGAATTCTGGCTCTTTTATTAGTTCCATGCGGTACAATATATGATGCATCCTTATGGACCATTTGAGAAGATCTGTTTTTTGTGTCTTAAGCTACAAATTCAAAAGTAACCCATTCTCAGCATGCGCGAAATTCATTTTGTCTCCATCCATAAGACAGGGGCCGTCATTGTTACATTAATTTATTTTATAATTTACACTAAAAATTCCAAGATGAAATAATTTTTATTATTTGTTATATATAATTTGATTTTGTGTTTGGTAGGAATTGCCGGAGGAGCAAAGGGGAGATGCGGTGAGTTCTATGGTGTACGAAGCGAATGCGAGAGTAAGAGATCCGGTATACGGATGTGTAGGGGCAATTTCGTCTTTACAACAACAAATAGACATGCTTCAAACTCAACTTGCGCTTGCGCAAGCTGAGGTTGTCCACATGCGCATGCGTCAGTTCTCTTCTATGCCTCATTCTCCAGAAAATTCGTCCAAGGAAACTCACTCCCACCAAAATAAGTCCATTTTTAGCATGGACATGGTTGAGGATCAACCTAACATGGACGACTCCTTATGGAACTAAGCAAATCCGATTTTTCTTTTTATTTTTTTTAAAATAGTTATAAATACTACTACTGCTACTACTACTATTTTACTACTACTTTAATTATGACTTAATTGGTTTTTTTTAAAAAAAATTTGGGGTTCCTTACATATATACGTGTTTATTTGTAGCAACCATCTCTCACTTCTTGACCGAGAGATGATCAATATCATTAACTATATATTGTATATTTGGAAACATATAATTATATATGAGTTATTATTGTTAGTGGAGCGCTATGCATTTCGACTTTTTTTGGAGAACTTGACTATCTATAATAGTTGAATCAATGTTTTGTTGTCTTTTAACTAGTTATATTAGGTGTTGAAACTGTTGATTCAATTCTTGGACAATTATAGACTACTGTTGTGAACTTTTGAAAACCCGGGGTACACAATAATAATAATAATAAAATTATAATAATGGTAAAACCGATTAATTCTATCAATATGCAATTTTTCTTACAAATTTTCAATACAAGAATGTAGCTAATTGTGAAGCAAAGCAAGACTTGGAGCAAGGGCTCCACGTAATTGGTGGTTATACACTTTCTTTCTCTCTCACGGCCCACTTTCCTGAAGTTGTAAATATCAGGAAATATAACCATTTGTTTTTGTTTTAATCATCCAACTAATGACCTTAAAACCCTCTAATAATTCAGGTTACCTAACACTAATGGCGTCACTATGTTTTCCATCACACGAGCAGTCTGGCATAATTACGCGTTGTTAGTTGTTGTGATTTTGATATTTGAGAACAATTTTTTTTTTTTTTTTTTTANATTTTTTTTTTTTTTTTTTTTTAAGATGTGATACTATGATATGATAGAGAAAAGAAGAAAACTTCTTTCATATGTACATTTGTAGGGTGGTCATGGGCCCAATTTCTTACAGCCTTCCACTAGTATTCATAATGTTTTGGGTCTAATTATATTTTGGATCTAATTTTATATAATTGTCAATGTAATATATTTGAGTTTTTGAATGATGTGGACAAATGATAGAAAAATAGACCATATATATTTCAATGCATTTTTTTTTATTTAGGTATAAAGTGATGTAAAACAAAATAGTTATAAGTGGTTTATTAAAGAGAAAATTTCATTACAAGGCAACTTTTTTAAATTGAATCAAAATAAGGCCTGCATTTTATTTTTTCTCAATAGAGATTTACATTTTATGTTATTTTCAATTTAAAACTTACTTTTTTGTATATAAACTTCTCAATGTAAGGCCCAACTATCTTTACTTTTTAACATAAATTTGTCAACCGACTAACTTTATTTTATGATATACTTATGTAAAACAAAAATATTACTTTTTTTGGAATTTATACTTTACATACTTTTAATAAAATATAATAAATATATTTAGTAAAATTACCTTAATAAGAAATGAAACTATGAAAATTACGTTTATGAAAAAGTTTAACAAAGATTATTTTCAAAAATTGATAAATGAATTTTAAAAATATACAATTAAAAATTATTTTTATTATTAATCAAAATATGTAATGAAAGTAAGAAATAATATTTAAATACAATTTTCAATTTCTTTTATTTCTTACTTCACTTTTTATTTATTATTTTTATTACATATTTATTATTTTATTACATTTTAGATTTTCGATAAAAAAATTAAAAATATATTTTAAAATTTTTATTAATTTTTAAAAGTAAAATTTATTAAAATTTTTCATAAATATAAGTTACATTGCTTAATTTTCTCATTTAAGTTAATTGTTAAATATAGAAAATATTTATTACATAAATATGTAAAATATAAATTATATAGATAGTATTAAGGTTCACATATTCATGTCAAAAAGTAAAGTTCGTTGGGTCTTACATTGAGAAGTTAAATAAAAAAAGTGAACCTTAAATTGAGAATAATCTAAAATGTAAATATTCTAATGAAGAAAAATAAAACCTGGCCTTAAACTGATACGATTTCAAAAAAATGGGTCATGTAATGGAATTTCTCCTTCATTAAAAGTGAGTCTTTCTGTTGGGTTTAAAATTATATACAAACAAATAATCATACTAGTTATTTTTATGATAATATTTTTTATAAAAAAGCTTTGAGTCTAGACTCAGGTTTCGAAATAGACTCTCAAGTGGAGACCTAATCTACTTTTTCACCTGTCACATCGTCTAAATTGTTTGCATTGGAAACCGATTTTTATACAAAATTTTCAAAATTCTGTGGCGCTTGATTTTTTTCTTCAATAGAATCAAGCTCTAGAGATGTTTTAAAGGAGTGTTTGGGTACGTTTTTGCATTTGAAAGTGATATGTTCGAATATGTGTATATTTGTTAGTGTTATAAAACTAAAGGGAAAAGAGAGATAATAGAGAAAATGTATTCTCTTAGGTGTGTTTTTCATTATAACTGAAGCTCCTATTTATAGGAAACTCCTGATGGCACAACTCGTAATAATACAAATACATCGAGGGCAAAATAGTCATTCACATACATTATTTTATTATTTCATAACACTCCCCCTTGAATGACTATTTTCTCAACATATTTTAACTGATTTGAACAAATCCCAATCTGCACATCTTCAAGTGTATCTTGTGGCCATCAGGTACCATCGCTTCAGCACGTCAGGAAAACCCGGTAGGACAAAACCTGATCATCGTGAAATCATAACATTGTTTCTTCAGGAAAACTCGGTGGGACAAAACCTGATCATCGTGGAAGCACAACTTTGCTCCCCCTCAAATAGATCATCTTTAGTGGAGTATCCACGTGCTGCCTCGTTAAAACCTTGTCAAGAAAACCCAGTGGGAAAAAACTTGATCGAAGGAAAAAGAGTACAGCTACTCCAGTCTCTCTTATCACCGTGAGAAATCATATCATTTATCCAATAGTGCTCATGATACCATGAATATGCCTCGTTAAAACCTTATTAGGAAAAACCCAGTGGGACAAAATCCTAATGAAGGAAAAAGAATACACTATTCATGTGAATACGCCATCCTTGTTGCCTCATTAAAAACCTTGCTAGGAAAACCCAATGGGACAAAACCTCAGCCAAGGGAAAAAGAGTACAACGCGTATTTCATATATTCACCATAATAATCTTTCCATAATTTGCATGAGTATCATATAAATTCTTTCGGATTTGTAGATACTGATGGTATTCACGACAATATGTCATATCATGCTTTGTGCAATTTTTTATTCTTAAACTCATTCTCATCATCAATTGATTTCAATGGTCTTATTGCCAATAATTCCCAATATTTACATTTCAGCTGATTTCATTTTCGACAATATTATTTATATAGCGCTATTCATTTGTTTATGTCAATACTTATTCATCTCCATTATTCTCCGTAGTATATTGAGATATCTCATTATCAATTGATTCCATCAATGGTTTATATATGCCTCCTTTCATCACATATTTGGGGGATTTCAATTTGCACAATATCAACGCTTCCAGCGTATTATTCCACCAACATATCATTTCATATATTTCACATCATCAGTATCATACAGTTTATGATTCGCACACTCTCAGTGTGATGCATATATCATTTCCAAATTTCAATCATTGATTCTCCCCCTCATCTTAACAGATCCCTGATCTGTATTTTTAGTATTGAATTTCTTGAGGGGAGTTCATATAGTCTCTATTTTGTTCTCGATTTCAACATATATTTGGAGGACTTTGAACTCATATCCTTTGTAGTGTGCACATTTTTCTTTCAAGAGTTCATCATATCAGGTGAGTATATTACTAGCTTCATCAGTTGTTTTCATTCTTTCATAATCATCTTGTGTCATTCTTTGATCAAACCATCTCGTAACTTCAGGTTACGTGTTATATACACATATTTGATCAAATCATCTCGTAACTTCATGTTACGTGTCATATATTCATTATTTGATCAAATCTCGTAACTTCGAATCACATACATGTGGCTATCTAGTGGATCCATAATATCTAGTAGCACACATGGAGGGGTAGTGGGCCCATATATATCGTACCCCTTTCATACTTAGATTGATCATATATCGATTCACAAATATTTAGCTAGTAATATTTTTCACCAATCGGGAACAAGCATCTCATATCACAAAGAATAAGTTCATCATGCAAACATTTTTAAAGTGAGCACAATAATTCGTTGTTACATGTTTATCACAAATATTTCACATCATCTTTCGGCGGCAATAAATGCACTTTAAGTGTAGGCTCTGGTATAATATCTTTTAACCCCTGTTTAAATCCAGAATCGTATCATGCTGTCTGACACACAAACTTTTGAACACTGTTTAAGTCCAGAGTCGTATCTCATACGCATCATATTTTTCTATAATTATCAGGTAATTCATTCAATTTTCTTTAACAAAGGTCCGAATTTACAAATGGATTTAGCACTCTCAAATATTCGTAAATATTATTCTTTTCTTCTGAAAAATATCATAAAAAGGATTTATCGATCTCGATTAGAAAGATTGAGGATGCTAATGAATAATGGTATTCCAAATGATGTTAGATGGTTGATCGAAGCACAAGTTCGATTGTCTGGAGAGTTTCCAAATTCATATAAATATATGTCAGGTATGGGTAAAAGTACTTATGCAAAGAAACGAAGAGCAAAAAGGTTAGGTGGATGCTTCAAATGTGCTCGTTGGACTTGTGACACACGATGTAAATCTGTGGGGTACGTGTCCAGAAATCGAGAAGATAAAATATCATTTATAAAGGATGGATTGAGTAAGGAGTCTCTGGATCACACGATTCAATAGATTCTTGAGACACATCCTAGTGGATACGTACATCGTGAGCTTATGTCTTTATGGATTCAGTTCAAAAATGAAGAAGAACGTTATAGTCTCAAAAATATTATTTCAAAAGATCAAGTTTGTAAAACTGGTCTTGTTAGTACTAAAAGTCATACTAATACAGTTTAGTATGTTGTACTGTAATTTTCTAGAAAAACTTATAGTTGCCGACAGATAA